CCTCCGCTGCTGAAGTCCGTGATGAAGAGACTTTTTACTCGCAGCCGCAAGCATGATTTAAAGGGCTCCGTCGCCGCGATCTGCTGATTGTTGCCGGATACTGGTATCGCTTGGGGTTAACGTAAGAGATACAACCCTTGCCGATGCGATCTTTATGCTAGGTCTCGTGAGGAAGAGAAGAAGTACGACGCCAAGTGGAAGTAATAGTGTATTCTGTACAGAAGTAGTGGAGAATGGGTTAAGTTTACTTTCGGACGTGAGTGCATCTGCACCCGAGCGGAGCAGTGTTCGAAGTGCCTGAGCGTGGCAGTCATCGCAGTTTGATCCCAGGTAAATCGGCCTCAGGGCGGTGTTTGTCTAGCCGGATTGGCGTAGGCAAGCTAGTGCAAAAGCAGTTGCTAGTAGCCGCAAGAGATTGAGTGTTGGCGCAGTTTGCGGCACCTATGATTGGCCGTTCTAGCGGCGGGTCCAGACTTGCAATCACGTGACCTCATGCGTGACGATGCGTGGGATGTGCTACGGGGTCACTACACTGGAATGGCCAGACTGAACTCGGTGACTCCGCAAAGAGTCATCTTATTGGCCGTTTTGGGCTTGGTTGTCATTGTGCTAATGGTGAGATTGCTGAACCTTGCTGATCAGAACCTACTGTTCGTCAAGAACACGTGCTTCCAGCACCGTAACATACATATTTTGACTCGTTACTCGTCTGACCATACCCATTAGTCGAGGTCATGCGTTGGGAGGGTAGTATTATCACAGGCGATGCACATTTCCATCAGTAAACTAAATTTTTACGTCCCTAGTTGTGCGTGTAATAGAAGCCAGACAGGATGGCAGAGAACAAATTTCTTGCAACCCTAACAAGCATTTTGTTGTTATTTAGCAATGGGCGAATTGCGTGACCATGCTTACAGAAGGACCGTTGATGGAAGATTTTAGCGAAGGATTTGTCAGGGCTCGAATCACTGACAAAAAAAGATTTTTTTCTGTCTGACGCGCGCTTGATGTACATCTCTTTTTGCCAAATATTCAGCCCCTATGTACCTTTGTGTGTGGGCGTGCCTGTGCGATACACCACTTCCTGGCTTGTCTAGCTAACGCATTTATCTGTTTCTTTCTTACGGCATCTCTTTCAAACTCTCTACGTAGTTCTTCTCGAGTGATCATACCAGCCGACTTATGGAGCGTTGGAAACAATTCCCCAGCACTGATGACGTTTTTACCAGACCATAATAGAGCATCGGTTCCCCGTAGGGAACTAACTCTTGTCCATCTCAGACCACCTATCTCGGCGCCTAATTAGGAAGCACCTTCTTATTTCGTTTTTTTGCGTCGAGTATGATTAATACTTTCGCCCTCCACATTAAATATTTTCGCGGCTGTCATTTTTGCTAACCTACTTCCCATATATCGATCCTACCCTCTCACTTATTTTCCTCCTTTTCACATGGCTTCCACGTTATACGCGCCTATGTATAGGAATGCTTGTATGACTGTGCCTTTGTTCGCGGGTCCATGTACTTCTTCACTAGAAATTTCTTTGTGGGTCCCAAACATCCCGGTATAACACGACCAAAGCTTGCCACAGTCGTAGCTAGGACTTCGGCCCTCTTCCTCCATTGGCTTTATACTCCCTGGTATGGGAAGCTGTTCGAGTGACAAAAAGTCCATACGACCAGAGATAGGCTTGTAAGCCAGAGGTACGCCATGTCGAACCCTAGCTAGATTATCACTGTCCAACTCCCTCATTCAAACCAGATCAATATGGTGTAATTACACTAATGTAGGCTGAACTCAGCCATCCTTATTTCAGTAAGATAATGTGTATTTACACTTAGCTTCGTAAGTAACTCAGGTTAGCAGGCACCAAGTGAGGAGTTGGATCGATAACAGCGTGGTCATTCTACGTTTACTTGACAGAGATGTGGTCTGAGCAGCGTACGTTCGCCACATTTTTACTTCACGCACATGGGTTACAATTTCAGAAATGTTCAGGTTCACCAATGTTTTTTATGGCGGCCCTTCTGACGGTCATCTTTTCGGCGAAATTGTATCCATTGTGTGTTCCCGTGGAGAGAGAAACACATTAGCAGGCAGAGAGGCATTGTCGACAAAGACAAGGAGACCAGAACGGCCATTTCTGGATCATTAATTGTCATCAGTTAGTCATACTCAACCTTAGGTATTGTAGCATCCATTGTGCAACTGTTGGCGGGGCTCGAGGGTGAGCCCCAAAGCACAACGGAATGAATGAGTCCCGTAACCGATCGGAGAGCGTCTTTTTACACTCTACATAATGTCTCACCTCACTGCATCAACAAATGTGCCCTCTAAGTTGCGGGTCAAAGTTCAATCGATCTTGCCTTTGCGTTGGACTTAATGTTCGTACGACCGCACGGTTCCAATTCGGACCTGCCGATTATCCAGATCTAACTTACTGAAGGTGTTCAATAAAGTATCAACGGTAGTTCAACTCCCCATTCCCCCCATCAGCATTCCTATTTAAATTTGCTTCGTTTAATTTAGCTCGCAATTGTCCTCGGTCAGAATTCTAAAAGACAGAACTGAGGGAACAGTATGCATTTTAGGCAAATAAGGAGCCGTTTTGCTTGGAGAGGCCTCGAGCCGGCATGGATATAGGCAAACCTCAGTGTGATGCGTGTTCTGGTAGTGAATCGCTATCTCGAGAGACAGTCTAGTAGCCTAGAAGCAGAGTTACACTGTACGAATGCGAAATCCTGAAGAGGGGACGGATGGAAGCGGGAAGAACTAGGAGGCAGCATTGGTGCCTATTAAAAGTTCGGTGTTTGACGACTAACTCAAGCTGTCTTTATTCATCCTGGTGATGCATTCACTCTAGGGAAAAGAAGCACACCAGTTTGCTTGGCAGAAATGTCAAAAGTAAGGTCTTTGAAAAAGAGCTAACATAAAACTTAAAAAAATAAGGATTGAATAAAAACTGTTTGGTTCCGATGTCAAACGCCATAGAGCGGTGCCGAGGATCCATTGTCTTGCTGTAGAGCTCCCACCAGAGGCGAATAAAAAATTAGCCGTCGCCTATTTGGGTTTCGGTTTCAACCACTTGTTTGCGTTCTCATAGACTACGAATGTGATACCACAGGCCGGGGCCGTCCTGAGTATGCCGGGCCAGAGGCCCTTGTAGAAGCCCAAGAGGCCTTCGTATCTATAAGTGTAAAAGGAGTCTGGTTGAACGGAGGCAGATATAGATAATGAGGTTAAGAATATTTGAACTCAAATATTCACATCTATGTACCTAGTATAAATAGCAATGGCCAGTTATTTAATTCACACAGGGCATACCTAGTCTGCCTTAATCACCAATGTCAAAGATGGGTTTAGTCCTTACTTAAATCAAGTCCCTGTCTGGATATCGGTCACCCTACTAAGCAGAACTGGTTAAAACTTTGAAACTCTTAGTTAACAGGTCGCGGGTTCGGGTGGTGCACAACCTGAGGTTGGGTATGACTGGACATAACAGTCTCACTTTTCTTTACTGGCGATGTTCAAATGCCTACACTACTAGCCGCTGTGCCGCTGCTGACAAAGCTCGAGAATAAGCCCCAAGGTAGACCGAAATGAGTGAGTTCCGTTAGCAATCGGGGAACATTCGTCAATGAATCACGAAACCACTGCATACCGTGGGTTCCAAATAGAAATCTATGCGCTCAGAATTGGGGTCCCCGAGTAACCGGAACCAGGTTCTCCTCACCGCACAAAAGCCGCTACCGTCTGAGCCCCAGCAATCTTCTTGGATGGTCATAGCAGTTTAAATATAAAGGCGGACATTTCGAATGCAGACAAGGTTATTTCCCTGCTGGTCGGACATTATCAGACTGATAACTGTTAAAAAAGACAAAGCATAAGTCACGAAGGAAAACGCTACCCTCGAAATGCTTCATCACCTTCTTGAGCTAGATTGCAATGCGTGCATAACTACTCTCGACTCCCTAAGAACAGGAAAGGAGCGGAAAAAATTTATAAGAACTCATCAGCAGCCAGAAGCTTTAGCATAGGTTACTTTCACAAATCACCTCTTGCCTGTACAAAAAGCGTACTGTCAGTCGCCAAACAATCACCAAAAATCTAAACCCGTCACCAACCGACAGAAAGGTTCGCGTATAATATACCATGCGCAAGTAGAGGGGAACATTGGTAACATGTGGAGAAGACAACTATTGCGGGATATTTTTTAAAAAATGGCAGATTTCGTGTCGGAATGCATCCATACTCCGGGAATCCATCGGAAGACATATGGATGAGAGCCCGACATGCTACCTAACCGTAATGAGCCAAGCTAACTGATTTGGCTTTTAATCAACTGTATGTCTTAATTTCCAGTCACACACTTCGCGCCTGCTGACCTGACCTTCTTATCATCCAATGGACTCAACTTCCTTAGTCCAATTGACCCAATTTGGCGAGGTCATCCAATAGGGTTAAAAAACGTTTATAAACATGCCCAACTTTGAGTAGAAAGTATCTGTACATATCATTACACGGTGTAATCGAACATCATACATTCAGTCAATAGTTCAGCAAGAACAAAGTTTACCTCCATATAGAAGTTATGACATCCATGATACCACCGTAACTCCGATGCTGCTCCTGCAGGCGCGATCGCAAAACTTGGAATGGAGAGGTTGCCGCGACGGCAATGGCCTTAGAGACCGTTGCCATCGTCAGATACTCGAAGGGCGACTAAAAAAGAGAAACAACCAGTCAGGTTTTAGCTTTACCTCAGACCTGGCGTCCTGGTATCCAAAAAAAATCCTTAGCATCGTAGATTAGTGTTACACTACCGACCGTGATTGATGAGATTCTTACTTACCAACCGCACGTGGACGCTCGCCGGGTGTCTTACAAATCAGCCGGAATGAAGTTTATGACGCGCGTAAGCTTATATTCTCATTTGTTATGCTTGTTGTAAAAATAGGATGCATGTCAGCCATTGATACAATTATAGGAACATATTACTAGAATATACTATCAGCTGGTCTTAGTAAATAGGATTACTAGAATTAGCACTCTTAGCAGTGGCATTTTACTTCTAGCAGCAGTATCCTAGCCAAACTTCTTAAAATGTGACAGCAGCAGTTAAATTGCGTTATCCTCTACACATAATTCTAATCTAGCTTACCTTGAAATCTAGTTGGCTGTAGCTTCTTTATACAGTTTAGACACAAATGTATCTCTTAGTTTAGATTTGCCTAGCTTTGATAGTGTAGACTTCTCCTCAAAGCCTAGTCAAAGCTTTTAGCCTATTGCAGTCTCAGCAACACTGTTGTCCACGAGCACCGTACTTGTAGAGCACCTATTTAGAAAAATGATGGTCTGACCTCTGACAATTATTATTATTATTGCTATCCAAATTTTAATCACTTTATCTCACACAGATTGGGAGTGCACACTGCGTGCAGTCTTCTCAAAAAGCACAAAGGCCATATCATAGTACACTAATTACTGGCCGTAGTAAGCATGATTACTAAAATTAGGCTCGTACCTATAGCAGCAGTACTTTAGTGGAACCTAGTAGAAATGTACACAGTCCGACGGATAGAGTTGAGAGGGTGGAAACCAAGGCAAGCTCTGCTGTGTCTCAAACATGTACTTACTCAGAATAGTTGAAACCAAGATTCACACTGCTTGCTGAGATCAAGGGGTAGGAGCCCTAGCGTTCTCTAACTCAGCGTCGCCTCGGACAATTGGTAGCGCCAGTGCTAGCACCAGTACCACTACACTCCATGTTGAAATTGAGGGGATATGAGCCCAGTGCTGACTTTAATCAGCGTCACTTCAGACTTACAATACAGTTAGTAATAGTACCAGCAAACACTATCACTC